CACCTACATCTCGCTGATGATTGGACAACCAAATCTCCGCTTCAGCTAACCAATGATTGACCTGCAACGGCCTCCATATAATGGATACTCTTGACTCAGGAGGACCCTACGTGTTACACACACATAGAACTGAAATAGAATATTTCCGTCATGTCTGGACGTGGTAAAACCGGTGGTAAAGCTAGAGCCAAGGCCAAGACTCGTTCATCCCGAGCTGGGCTTCAGTTTCCAGTCGGACGTGTACATAGGCTTCTCCGTAAAGGAAATTATGGCGAGCGCATTGGTGCGGGCGCCCCTGTGTATCTGGCGGCCGTCCTCGAATATCTGACCGCCGAAATTCTGGAGTTGGCTGGCAATGCGGCTCGCGACAACAAGAAAACCAGGATCATCCCTCGTCATTTGCAACTGGCTGTTCGCAACGACGAAGAGCTCAACAAACTTCTGGGCGGAGTGACCATCGCCCAGGGCGGTGTGTTACCCAACATCCAGGCTGTACTTCTACCCAAAAAGACCGAGAAGCCAGCCAAGTCTAAGTAATGAGCAGGGATCTACTCCAACCACCTAAACGGCTCTTTTCAGAGCCACCTACCAATTTCATGAAGAGTACCATTCTGTGTGTATTTAAACCAAGTGGCTTGGTTGTTAAATACTGATAAAATGTTTTGAAAAAACCCATATTTAAATTTGTCCAAAATATATGCATTAACAGCGAAGTACAGGTGGAAATATGTATGTAGAAATATGAGTCAGTGACTATACTTTAGTTCATGGGGGCCATTCCAGAAATCGCAACTAGTATGTGGCCCACTTATGATGAAACTGCTTGCCATCCCTTATGGTAGGCGTTGACGCTAAATACGGATTCAGTATCATAAGTAGAACAACACGATTGTGATAAATACATTTTAAAATAGTCTTATTTCAACATCATCGCTTGTAAAAATGATAGTTGAGTCTTAGAGCTACCAAATGTGTCCAGTGCTTTACTAACATAAGCTGTCGATCTAATTAGTACTCGTGTTTCTAGTATGAAAGCTTCCTTTAATGCGAACAAGGGGAATTGCCAACGTATAAATTCACATCACCCAAAGGAGAACAACTTCAGCACAAGTTGTTCCTGTTACTACAAACAAAGGTAAATATGTTTATACAGGGCATGGGAGAAGGGCTGCTGAGTGACGTTTCTGGTGCACAATTGGGTCAGCTGTCCTCTCTCAGGTCCGCAGTGCTGTTTCATAATAAGGGTCTCTTCAGTAGGTTGAAGGTAATCTGTGTTTTCGCTGACGTGATACAATGTCTGGCAGAGGCAAGGGAGGCAAAGGATTGGGTAAAGGCGGTGCAAAGCGTCACCGTAAGGTTCTTCGTGACAACATTCAGGGCATCACTAAGCCAGCTATCCGCCGTCTGGCTCGCCGTGGTGGGGTGAAGCGTATCTCCGGTCTCATCTACGAGGAGACTCGCGGTGTCCTCAAGGTCTTCCTTGAAAACGTCATCCGCGACGCCGTAACCTACACGGAACATGCCAAGAGGAAGACGGTGACCGCTATGGATGTCGTGTATGCGCTCAAGAGACAGGGACGCACTCTCTACGGCTTCGGCGGTTGAGTTTTCCATCCGGCGCCGAAACAACACAAAGGTCCTTTTAAGGGCCACACACCAACTCAAAAAGAGCTCTAAGTTCCATG